ACTTTTTCAACATAACTTTTGAAAATGTTCCGGAAGGTCTGACACTTTTATATATATCTTAAATTAAAGCTTATGTAATATCCTTTAATTTGAAAAAAAAAAATTTGACCTCTGGACTTGTCTTCGTGGTGAAAGTTGACATCAAAGTTAATAAAAAATTACGATTTTTGTAAAATAATTTTTTTTTATATTTTTAACTTAATAATCCTCTAACTTTTTCAAAAATGAACATATCAATATAATTCTTTTTTATATAGATGTTTGATGTCTTTACTTATCATTTGGTATATTTTTTTTGTAAATCTGACACTTAACCTGCCCACAGGGGGGGATTTAAAATGACAACTTTTTCACAAAAAATTTACTTTTTCAACATAACTTTTGAAAATGTTCCGGAAGGTCTGACACTTTTATATATATCTTAAATTAAAGCTAATGTAATATACTTTAATTTGAAAAAAAAAAATTTGACCTCTGGACTTTTCTTCGCGGCGAAAATGGCTACCGAATGCTATTTTCGTGTGATAATTCTCGATTTTATTATTCATATTATATTTAACTTTATAATGCTATAACTTATTGAAAAGTTTATGGATCCACACAATTTTTTTATGAGAAATAATTTTTTTTAATAAACCCTTTTTCATTCGACATACTTTATCTTAATCGAGATATTAAGGAACCAGCAAATCAAGTAGCTTTTGGAATAAAACACCAATTTTTTTAAAATTAAACACTATCTAAAGATTTGCATCGAAGCGTTTATTTTTGATAGTGATTTTAATCACTGTCAGATATCATTATACTTGATCCAACTATACCACGTCACAACTGTGCCGCGACCCCCCTGTGCTGGGTTTTTTTTAATATAGACATATTTTCTTAAATATATTTAGGAAGTTTACGAGAATAAGAGCATGAAGTTAAATCTTTTGTCGCATAGCATATGCAAATAAGTATGTGACCATCAGTGGTGTATTTAAACATTTTGTATGGAATAGTCTAGATACATTTTAGAACGCAGAGAAGTGAGACGCTTCACCCTTTCACTGATCCTTTCTACTATGATTTTAGAGGAGGTGTTCGGATTCCATGGACCACCGTTGTAAATTCGCCACTGGTGAACGAAGCTAATCTAGAGATACAATTCGACTACTTTTTAAAAAATATTTTGAATTTGTCCTTTAAGATTGCATATACGTTATTGTTCTGACTGTTTGAAAACGATTAGATTTAACAATTTTCTATCCTGTTTCGCTTCAAAAAAATCAAGCATTGTAATTGGCAACTCGTTGGTAAATTTTATACTCTAAGCCATTGTTTTTTTTTTAGTAACAATTCTTATTACATTTGTTAAGCTTGCTCAAGAGAGTATATAAAGCCTCATTTTATTTATATGGCGGTATAAAAACCAGTATTCGTCCCTAAATCCTTGACACATAAAATGTTTTTACTGTCGCAAGGGTTGGTCTCATTTTGTGGCCTTGTACCTATATTCGGTGGACAATTTGGGTGTGCTTATCATAGCGTATCTTCGAATAAAAACGTAGAACCTTTTAGCTGTGTAGTAGTTTAGTGTAATTTTCTTTGTATATTTTTACAAATGACAGTGAATGTTATTTCAGTCAAAGAGAAAAATAATCGATTTGTAAAGTCATCGCTATTCGTCGTAGTTCAGTATGTTGGTGCAACCTAATTTGATTCGTTTAGCGTTCAGAATATATAAAATCATGTATTATTTATACGCTGTTTAAACGTTTATCGTGATAAAACACCCACACAATCCATCATCGAACGATATTTTGTTTGACTCAACCACCATAGGAGAACTTTAATTTGTTGACACTATTATTGATAAGTCAGACAGCTGTTCGGAACAACCATTTGCACACGCAAATCGCATTTGGCCTGCGTTATTAATAATAATTACACCAATATTGTTTTTGCGTGTTGTGCCTATAGCATTTGATTAGTGGATTTTAGATGTCAATTTATATCAGTTATTATAGTTTAGCTAGTCAATTACCCAACCTCAAGTAAACGAGTCCCTAACAATACCCGGCGACGCTTAGTCTAGATTACCTCTCATCCCGTTTGTTAGCCGTATAATTATTTCATGACGACGGTTTGGCTGAGAAATAAACACGAGTTGTATATATTGCACAGGTGTCATAATATTTAATGAACACTTTGAAACATTGCAAAAATAAGTGTACATACTGTGGTAATTAAACAACCCATTTGTGGATATAGGAATAATAAAAAATACTGTTTTTAATGTTTATTTACTTGTTTGCTCATGGCAATATTGTTAGCGTGAAAATTATTGTAAAAAAAGTGTGACAGTTTCGCAATCTAGTACAGTAGCGATAACGTTACTTCGACACTAAAAGCTCTGACCCAAATTACAATGACATCCCAAAAGTTATTGTTGTTTTCTAAAGTATTTTACTGAAATGAAAAAGCTTTTCAAAAATAGTAAAAAAAGGAGTCGAGGTATTTGTTGAAATTATATGTTGTTGGAATAGTGTTAACAATATCGTTGTTAGAAAAAACACAACATAGTCATTAGTTTGTTTTTCCCTTTTTTATTACACAAGACATACTTTTCTTCTAAAATACTGAATGTATATATATTTTTCGTCGTAATATATCCTATATTTTATTAAGCATGTATGTTATTACAGTGCTTTCGAGTACGCTATATGTTATTTAGAGGAAGATAATTGTGTAAGGAACATCTATAGTAGGTAGTAAAATATAGTACCATATATTGCACATATTTTATCTGGATTTTTAACCCCTATAACTAAAAACCGGCAATTTAATGATGTGTATACCGACATGATGGCCGAACAAAAATACTATCTCTATAATATTATGGTAAACCGTATGGATACTCAACCATAGTACTAGTTTATGTTTACTTGTATATATTCCCCTTGACATTTTTGCATTTATCTATTTTGTCGTTACAGGAAATGTCTGACAGGTTGACTATATAGCGCATATTATATATAATACTCAACAAGACACCCGCTGGTCAACTTATCCCGAAGTAAAGAGTCGCATCTACATACATTTATTTTGTCATTTCTGTATGGCGTAGAACAACATTTTATAATTATGCTGTTTGTTTATATGCGCATTTTGCAGTTGTTTTTATTATATGATTAGTATTTGCATATCTAAGTGCAATGATCAACGATAATACACGAGATTACAAAGATATATTGCATTGATAATTCGAAATGTTGTTAAAATTAATAGTTAGAGAAATTAATAATTTCAAAATTATTTTTACGACTTTTAACACATTTTTAATGCT